GCACCGATTGTAGTCCATTAGCTGGGCAATCGCTGTGTAGGGTGCAGCTGGGTGGGGCCTTGTTACGCGCGTCACACCGCGGTTTTGGATCGGCCGGCCCTTCGGTCACGAGTTTGGTGAGAAGGTCTGGGGTCTGGCGCCGTGGGCGTGACGTATTAGTGTTAGTCGCGGCTGTGCGATTGTCGCATGTTGGTGGCGGCGACCGCGGGTCGTGACAGCGTGCGTGCCCCATACCTGGAAGTGCAGAATCACATACATACACACACATGTGATTTTGTGCAGATCGACAGCCCTGTAGCAACAAAACTGCTACAGAACGGTCGTAAAGTGGCTTTTAAAGAATAAGACCGCTAATTCAAAGACCATCCTCAGAGATGATAGCCATAACAAAAGGCAATCTGACAGTTAAGGTCAGGCAGAAGAATATCCCTAATGGATTCAAAGGGTGGCTTTTTAAGTGCTAAGAGAACCAGACTAAGATCCCAAGTGGCTACAGGAGAACCAACAGATGTGAGCTACTCCTTGAACAAAGGCCGCAACTAGAGAGTAAGAGGCCAAAAGGTCTCTGAAACAGAACAGTCAATGATAAAATGCGTTTTAGTGGTACTCAAGACCAACTGTTGATGCAGACCATATTGGGAAGGGCAGGATAAGTCCCATGGAGTGCCTTCTAAGATGGCAGTTCCTCGACTCGCAACAAGCAAAGTAGGCCTTCCAGATGCGATGTTAGACTTTGAGAAGTCAACATCCTAGCCTTCAAGAGGGTACGAATGACAGAGTCTGAAAGGCCTTTCATCAGCCATGCCATTTAAGCCACAGCCAAGTAGCAGGATGGAACACTGGCCACACTGGGACATGAGCTTTGGATGGTCCGGAAGGGATCACAGAGGTTCTGCCAGGAGCTTAAACATGCCTGAGTGCCACTTCCTCTTGGGTCAATTCAGTGCAAAGAGGATAATCAGGGTGCCCTCCTCAATGTTGTTGAATCTGGATGCCAAAACACTCACATCTGGTGTTCCCACCTGAGGCAAAGGGCTTGAAAGACTTCTGGATGGTGGTATTGTTACACTGGATTCTCATCTGGTATTCTTGAAATAGAGAAGTGCAGTGTTGAAGGGAGTACCAAATCATCCTGAGATCCAGAGTGTTGATTGAACTTCATTCAAAGGCTTAGTCCCCTGCACCAATAGGATGTTCATGACTGCTCCCTAGCCTGACTCGCATCTGTCATGTGACCTTTCTATGACTGTAAAGGGAAAGACTTCCCTAATTCCACTGCCAGTAAGAATCCACTACATCTAGGAAAATCTGGCATTGGTGTTCAGATGCATAGGGCAGTCCAACAACTAAGTCTGTTTGTTCCACCTGGCCAGAATATTGAGCTCCAATGGTCTGACATAGAACCCAAGCACATGGGCCCGGAGACTAAAGTCTATCAAAGAAGCATAGATAAAAAGGCTTCTCTGGGCCCAGACAATATAATGAAGGGCCCATTAAAAATGCTCCCAAACAGGTACTCATGACCAGGAGATGTTGCTTGGCTGGTTTCCAATGCCAAAGCTTCCAATGAAGCTTCCATCAGAAAATCATCTAACGAAGGTGATGGCAACGAGGAAGGTCACCTTGTGAGTGAATGCAGACAGATGGATAGCCGATAGGTTTAGAGGGCCATTTTTGAAGAATCGACAGGGCCAATTGAAGTACTATGGAGTCAGATGTGGATGTATGGGCAAACCCTTTGTGAGGGACTTTGTGGGCAACCCTGTACAAAGGCCCTTTCCAAACAATGAGAGGCTAGTGGACTTTAAAAAAAGAATCAAGATATTAGCCTTGATAATATTCAGGGCCAACTGCTAATCCAGACCAGACTGGAGAAAAGGCAGGATGCATCCCATTGAGCATTTCCTGGGACAGAACTTCTGTACCTTGCACCATGTGAAGTATGTTATTCAAATGCTATCAGATGTTGTGAGGAGATATTTCTAGATAATTAGCAGCAATGGATTTGGATAGACCTAGGCTTCAAAAGCCAAGCAGTTAAAGCCAGCAACCATGAAGCAGGGTGGTAAAGCGCTTCTTGAAACAGAAGATCCAGACAGCCTTGGAGATGCCATGGAGAGTATACCAGGAGTCTGGTGAGGTTAGAGTAGAACATCAGCACGGGCTAGTTCAGTGTGAATACCCTCTCTCTCGATCCTGGCAAATGTTATTAGGGAGAAGGAAAGGAGGAGAAGGAAAGGAGGAGAAGGAAAGGGAGGAGAAGGAAAGGAGGATAGATATCGGATTCCCCAGAGACACCCCCAGAGTCACCAAACCATCCACTACTATGGGCAGAAGATCCATGGATCTGGAGACAATCTTGTCAAGTTTGTTGAACCTAGAAGCCAGGAGATTCACAAACAGTGTTCCCTACCTGCAACAAAGGTCCTGAAACACCTAAGCATGAAGAGACCATTCTCCGGATTCTAGATGCTGTCAAATTAGGGAGTCTGCCTGCTAATTTGTGGAATGAGCACAATAGATAGCACTGGGTCAGGATACAGCCTCCAGGACAGCCAATGTGAAAATCTGCAAATTCTCTCTCGGCTCTCTCGCTCCTCAATAGGACAGATACAGCAGCAGTCATTGGCTTCTGCTGCTGTCAATCAGAGCCAGTGATGAGGGGGTGAGGGCGGGGCAGAGCCCACTCTGTGTGTCTTATGGACACACAGAGCAGGGATTGAGAGAGCACACATGAAGGCTCCCATAGCAAGCAGCTTTCTATGGGGGCACTCAGCAGGGGGGAGGAGCCAGGAGCTTCAGCAGGGACTTGAGAAGAAGAGGATCAGGGCTGCAAAAGTCATTAAACCGAGCAGGCAAGTATGACATAACGGTTGCTTAAAAAAACAAAACAAAAAACAAAACAAAAAAAAAAAAAAAACCTTTATTACTTTAACTTTGTTTTTTTTTTTAACTTCGTCTTTAAAAATATACAGAAAATTAAAGAGTTACTAAACCCACAACAGTAAAATCAGTCTGTATATGCAGTAAAGCATGCTGTGGTTAATCCTCTGCATTGAGTAAAAAGGCTGTTTGATCCTCCCCTTCTTCCAGTGTTCCCCTCTTATCTCCTGATAAGACATCCTGCAGGAGACACTGTGCAAATGCTCAGTTTGGTGTTCATTGCTAGAGAGTTTTTTTTTTTTTCTTGGGAGAGTGCATGTGATCAGCACAGGGCCAATCAGCACTGTCCAGACAAAGGTCATGGATTCTGCATCCTCCTAGAGCAGGAAGAAAACCACCTACAAGCTTTAAAGTGCTCTGCTCGACAATGATAGAAGTCACAAGACTGCTCTAATTGCTGATGAGAAAAGGTATATAGCAGTTTACATTTACTAAAATAATTGCATTTCCACGTTCTGAACTGTGGGAGACCAGATATAGTGATTGCAGGGTCCTGGGTTTAGCACTTTACGCTCACCTTGGAAGTCACAAAAAAAAAAAAAATCCATGGTGTTAAGTAACTTACTGCTAAATAGACAGACTTGTAACTAGAATGAGAAAATGGCTCTAGAGCTTAAAGCCCATCTCCGGGCAGTAAAAAAATGATCCCTTGCAATGGGGCTCTGCCCTCATTGCAAGCGTTATTTGCTCGTTTATGCCTAGGGGAACAATAAAATAGCACCGCTCTAGACGTAAAAAAAAACTGAGGGACAGTCCACTCTCGGATTGTGGGGGGAGCGCTGCCTGCAGGGGGTGAGGAGGATCAGGCAAGTAAAACAGCTTCTCCTCTGAAAAAGCAAAAAAACTATTATCCCTTGCAATGCAGGCCCAGCCCCACTGCAAGGGATAATGGTTTCATCTGTCTGGATATAAAAAGGCCCCAGCATGAGATATACAGTATTTTTTCATATTAAAAGTTCATGTATGTGTAAAGGCAACTTTTACAGATATTACTTCTCAGAGATCAGTACTCCCTCTGACAAACAAATACTTTGTTTGCTTTTCTCACTAGAAGGATGGTGCCATCTTTATGGAAGCATTATCTGGGACAGCATCTACGTTCTGCCTAAACATTTTGGCTTAGAGATGACACAGTCATGTAAATCTTGGTAAATTGAAAATATTGGACGAAACACATTGGGAAGGCGTTACAGTGCTGACGTCACACCGCTGCACGATCCTGGGGCGGCAGCGGCCACATACAGTAAGTATGCTTTTTTCTGTTTTGTGCAACTTTGTATACATATTATGAATAAATGACTACACTATTGGAAGTATTTAATGCTCCTGGTGAGTCTTATTTTACCAGAGTCTGGGCAGAGAGGATGCCATCCACACATCGATTACTGTGACAAGATACATATGTTCCCGCTGGGCTATACTGGCGTTTGTGCTGCTGTAGTGGCAGCTAAGAGCTCTGGTGAGTTTGTAATTCAGTGGGAGACGGTGGTGGTTTATTTACTACTTAATTGTGTTGTCTACAATTAAGAACACTCTTTTAGGGTGATGGACAGACACTTATTGAATACTTTGTTTATGGATATATTGAACATTTGGCTTATATGGACATTTATCGAACACTTAACACTAATAATCAGTTTTGTCACTTCAAATAGTTTATTTAGCGCTGCACTTAATATTTTCAATTTTCATTAGGTTTTTATACTACCTAATTGTGCCAGCTGCTTTGCTAGTCAGCACGGATATTTTTTTTTAGATTATGTAAATCTTGTTGTCTGTGCAGTTCTGTGCTGGACATTTGTAAACACAGCCTCTCACAATGTACCTTGCTACCAAATTACAATGTACAGCCTGAACATTTGGAGAAATATTACATCTGCAACAGATTAATGCCATCATCTCACCCTGGTCCCATGTCTGAAGCTCAGACTGCTTTCTAATTATAAAAAGTCTTTTTTTTTTTTTTTTTTTTTTTTTTAAAGAGTATATTGCTGTTGCACACTGTGACATCAGCAATTTATTCATGCAGACATGAGAATTTACCAACAGGTCAACTTTTAGCTGATTAAAGAAATGGCCATCTTTGTCTTACATTAGAGTTTTCACAAGGCATCTTTATTTACCTTTGCTTCTGAGATTTAGGATCAGAAAGGCACTCCTCCACAAATATTATTGAGGCACGCTTTTCTTTGTTTCGCACTAATTTTACCTGTCATATATAAAAATTCTCATTTATTATCTCTGACAGAGTTTGTTATCACTGTCAATTCTAAAAAGAGTAGTACGACAGATGAAACCTTACCAAAGACGGCCAGTAGGGGTATCGCTTAAATTTACACCAGACAAACGCCCCACGCTCAAAGGAGACTGGTTCTGGAAAAAAAATATGTCACTCAGACATCTGGAATTGTTTTTCACAACACACATGGCCAAAAGTAACCAAAATTTTGTGAAATAAAGCACAAATGAAGAAAACAGAGGATACATACAGACTGCAAAACGTACCATATAAATGGAATAATTCAGTTTCTGGGTTTATTACCACTTGACAACCAAGCCTTTTCTGACATTTTTTGTTTACATGTAAAAAAAAAAAAAAAAATCAGTATTTTTGCCTAGAAAATTACTCAAAACCCCCACAGGCCCTATAGAAAGAAAAAAAATGGTGGGTGTTGCAATTTTTTAAAGTCACATGGTATTTGCGCTTTTTTTTAAATTTTAAAAACACAATACCCAATAGTTTGGTATCCATTTACTCGGCGTAACATCATCTTTTAACCACATGCCGCCCAGCCACTGTGGAAATACGGCGGCAGGACGGCACGGCTGGGCAAAACCACGTTTTAAAACGTGTGTTTTCAAAACAGGTAGGAGGCGCGCCATCGCCCTACCTGTCCCGCCGAGTCACAGCCGGTCGTTACCGGCTGTGTCCAGGCGATTAGCGGCAATCACTGACAGAGAGCACAGCTGCAGTAGCTCTGCTCTCTGTCAGTTCCCTGACAGCTCCTGACATGCTGAGCAGGAGAGAAGAGTTTTTTCTCTCCCGGTCAGCTTGTCCCCCTGCAGTACACACCCCCGCCCTCTAGTAAAACACTCCACTCACACAGTTAACCCTTTCACTGAAAAATAAAGTTAACCCCTTCCTCCCCAGTGCCATTAGTACAGTGTCAGTGTTTTTTTTGGCACTGATCACTGTGTATTGGTGTCACTGGGGATGCCAGTGACCCCAAGTCAGTTCCCCCCCCAGTGTCAGAATGTCCGCCGCAGTCCCGCCATAAGTCCCTGATCGCCGCCATTATTAGTATGAAAAAAAAAAAAAATTAAAAATCCCAGTATCTTTCCCGCCATTTGTAAACGCTATAACTTTCACATAAACCAATTAATTTACACGTATTGGGGTTTTTTTTTATTTTTTTAGCAAAGACATGTCGCAGAATGCATTTTGGCAGAAATTTATGACTAAATTTGATTTTTCAATTTTTTTTTACTGGACATGTTTTATAGCAAAAAGTCCAAAATACTGTTTTTTTTTCCTCTTTGTTTTTTTTTTATAGCGCAAAAATAAAAAACGCACAGGCGATCAAATACCACTGAAAGAAATCTCAATTTGTGGGAAAAAAAGGATGTAAATTTCATTTATGTACCATATTGCATGACTGCGCAATTGTCCGTTAAACTAGCGCAGCGCTGTATAGCAAAAAAATGGAGTAAATTGCATTATCTATACCATAGTTCGTAAATGTTATAACTTTCACACAAAGCAATCAATATACACTTATTGGGATTTTTTATACCAAAAAAATGTAGCAGAATACATTTTGGCCTAAATTTCTAACTAAGTTTGAGTTTACTATATATTTTTTATAGCTGAAAGTAAAAAAAAAAAGTTTTTCTACAAAATTTTTGGTCTTTTTTTGTTTATAGCGTGAAAAATAAAAAGCGCACAGGTGATCAAATTGCACCAAAAGAAAGCTCTATTTGTGTGAAAAAAAGGGCGTAAATTCCGTTTGGGTGCAGCATTGCATGACCGCGCAATTATCAGTTGAATAAGTGCAGCGTCGAGTAGCAAAAAGAGGCCTGGTCATTAAGGGGGGTAAATCCTCAGGAGGGCAAGTGGTTAAATTTTACCAAAACATGCCACGCCAGTGCAACTACGACAAACAGCGTAAATGTTATTATCTATAGCTGACACTTTAAAATTCCTTACAGGTTACCACTTCAGATTTATAGAAGATGCCTGGTGCTAGAATTACTGCCCTTGATCGGACGTTCACAGCGATACCTCTCATGTGTGGGATGATCACTGTTTGCGCATGTGCGGGACCGACACATGCGTTTGCCTTTGTGCAGAGGAAGGGGGCACTTTAAAAAATGACTACTTTGTTTTTTTCCCACACTGTCTTTTTTTTGATCACTTATCAGAGGGAATATAAATATCCCCTGTGATAGCAATAAGCAGGGACTCTTTACTGAGAGATCTGGGGTCTATTAGACCCCAGATCTCTCCTTTGTCCTTCCCGACATCTGATCACACCAAGGTTGGTGTGATCAGATGCTTTCCTAAATAAAATATGGTGCTGTTTACATCCTGCAATCTCTTCTTCTGGTTTCGTACATCACAGAGATGATCGTAGCTGTTGCAGTCTCTGACTACCTATAAGGTCAGCTGTCGGTAGCACCAGCTGTTTGCTTGGGTCTCCCTGTGGGACAGGAGAGCCCGAGAGAGCTGCAAAAAATGTCAGGAAAGGGGGAGGGGCATCATCCCATTTTAGCCACTTGAAGTCCAGTGACATACAGGTATGTTGCTGGTCACCTAGTGGTTATGATAGTTTGGTATATTGCTTATTTTATTAGTAGTAAACATTTTATGTAAAAATCTCAAAAACACCGGATTAAAATGTTCTGGATAGCATGAAGTACTTCTTCCGCAAGTGTAATGTATGAGAAGGCAGAAAAACTGGGGGCTCTAAAATACTGAAATAGGCTTTAATTATAATATATATTGGAGAAAAATGTCTGACAGTAGTTGATTTTAGTTATTCTAAGGAGCGGAGAACTGCAACATGACAGTTTGCCATAGGCAAGAACACCATATCATTTTATCGAGTTTTATAAATAAACTTCAGTAATAGCTTATGCTACCTTTCTTGAGTTCAATGACAGGAAGGTCTACATCTTCCTCTGTATCATCATTTGGCCACACTTGTGGAACAGTGTTTGATTCTGGAGAACTACATTCCATAGACAATTCTGAAGATAAGAAATCTGAAACAAAACACACATTTGATTACATTTTCAATTAAATACCAACTGGTACATGACCTCAAAAAGGACAGAAAAAAAACCTTATATAAAAAAAATTGAAAGGGGGTTCAGTGAGCCAATGAGGAATTCTTGACTCCATTTAGGTACATATACGTCAAAGTGATAACCAGACTTACCGTTGACCATAAAACCCAATGCAGCAATCATGGACTCTGTGCAACATATCTGAGCTCAGCAATCCCCTCCAAAGCCAGTTTCAGACAAACCAACAAGTGTAAGCAAGCAAGATCATAAACTTTACACCCTAGATTTGGTAACAACTACTGACACTGCAATTAATTTTATCCAATGGCAAGTTTGTGCAGCTGGTATTTGACCACTCTTTGATTGTATATGCATGTGTATCAGATCATATGACCTTGCCCAAATACCAATATTTCTTGAGCAAATACACGAATTGGTCTATATAAAGCCAATACTGGAACAAATTGGTCTTTATAAAGTTCAGATTCTCAACAAATTTGCCAAATGTCACACTACTACATATAACTAAAGAACTGATTCCTGACAAAACCCCTATGGGTTGCTCTTTAATAAAGATAGACATCACAGACCTACACATGCAGTATTTCCAAAGAAACAAAATCCAGAAAATTAGTAGGTGACTCCCCAAACTAGTAATTTGCATTCTTGTAGAGACTGCTGAGCAAAAACTAGAGATCATTACAAGTACACAGTGACAATCAGTGGTAATAAAAATCTAGTACTATGTTCAGGAAAATCATTGACTATTCATAGTACTTACATTTCCACAAATCACCAGATATGCTACATGCAAGCAGGAATTGAATGCAAGAGAAGAGACTGAAAACACAGGAAATGTACAGGACAGAGCATTGAGATTTGCCCCTTAAGCTGGACTCTGGGCAAATGATTTTGCAAGGGTTAACTGCTCGTTTTATCCTAGGACAGATGAGATATACGTACCTAATCTTCCCCGCAGAAGACTGGTCTGTCAACCCCACGTTCCAGCGGTCTTGAAAATGGACTGTTCCTGATGCCATCACACCCAGAACATGCTCCGTAGACAGGAACAGTCCACCGTCAGATCGCGGGGGAGTGCGTTTTTCCACAGGATCGAAGTATCAGGAGGAGTATAAACTTTGTGATCACCCCTAGAAAAAAAAAGAAATGAGTAGTTGACCCATGCAGAGCAGCTTGACTGCATGGGGAAAAAAAAAAAAATTTTGTCTGGAGTTGGGCTTTAATACACACACCTCAATTCACAGTATCCAAGACACAAGTGAGCGCTGACTTCTGACTTATACATCTCACTCTCCAGTGAGATCTGCACTCTGGAACACACAGCTCACTTCCCACTAACACTCTGGAACACACAGCTCACTCTTCACTATCAATGTCATGAGTACTATCCAGCACACACAGCCTATTCCCATTATCCATGCCATCAGTGAGATCTACACTTCAGCACACACAGCCTATTCCCATTATCCATGCCATCAGTGAGATCTACACTTCAGCACACACAGCCCTATTCCCATTATCCATGCCATCAGTGAGATCTACACTTCAGCACACACCGCTCACACTCCATTATTCATGTCACCAGTGAAATCTACACTCCAGCGCACACTGCTCTCTTCCATTATCCACGTCACCAGTGAGATCCACACTCCAGTGTACACAGCTCATGCCCCACCTCACCAGTGAGATCTACACTCCAGCGCCCACAGCTCCTGGGCTTTTATTTCAGTAGGAACATGGGGTAATGCAGTTTCGGCACCTCCAGCACCGAACATATGTAATGGAAAGGGGGGCTGGAGTGTGCTAGAGGGACTATTAATGCTGGCTGGTTTATTGTTGCTAGAGGGGATCTATCTTTACATGGTAGTCTATTGTTGCTTCAGAGGTCTATTGTTGCTAGAAGGGGTCTACTGTTTGGGGTCAGTTTACTGTTGATGACTGCTGGGGTTCTATTGTTGCTGGAAGGCATCTGGGATGTCTATTGTTGCTGGGGGTCAATTGTTCCTGGAAAGGATCTGCTGCTGAGTTTGGAGTCTACTGTTGCTGGCTGCTAGAGAGTTTATTGATGCTGGCTGCTGGGAAATCTGTTGTTGCTGCAGGGAGTCCATTGTTGCTACAATCCATTGTTGCTGGGGTTGAATGCTGCTGGTGGGGGATCTACTGTTGAGTTAGGGGTCTATATTTGCTGGCTGCTGGAGAATCTATTGATGCTGACTGCAGGGGATCTATTTTACTGCTTTCTTATCATTAAAGAATTTCACACAAATTACTTAGCACCCCAAAAGGAGACTTGGCTCTTTAATCTCTTAAAGGGGCGTTACTGGGTGGTGGGTGAAACCAAGGGGCAGTGCTCAGAGGTCTCCACTCCTGCACACACAGGTCACTCCCCATTATCAATGCAACCAGTGAAATCTACACTCCAGCACACACACCGCTCACTCCCATTATCCATGTCACCAGTGAGATCTACACTCCAGCACAAACTGCTCACTCCCCATTATCCATGCCACCAGTGAGATCTACACTCCAGCACACACTGCTCACTTCCCATTATCCATGTCACCAGTGAGATCTACACTCCAGCACACACTGGTCACTCCACATTATCCATGTCACCAGTGAGATCTACAATCCAGCACACACAGCTCACTCCCCATTATCCATACCAGTGAGATCTACATGCCAAGACACACACACACACACCTCCATGTCACTAGTATCCATGCCACCAGTGAGATTTACAATCCAACACACAGATAATTTGGCTCATAGTGCAGCATCAATAGGCAGTAACATAAAATAAGTTGCATGGAACACCATTAGTGAACGGGAACTCAAACAAAGGATACTTGTATCAGATAGCCAGAAAATCGAACACCACCATTGAAAAAGCAGCCAGTGCCATTATATCATGATGAAAAGGTATATAAAAAGTCCTATAAATTATCTGACCGTTTAAACATAGTAGAATAAGAAGTACTATCAGTTTAGTTTTTAAATTCTCATTGGCGTCCCCCAGGGGACTAGGTGCACAGAGCACTGATCGATGGCTGCATTATTAAAAGTACTTTTTTTTTTTCCTGCACAGCACTAGTGCAGACCTCCTTTTCATTTTCACAGAGCTGGATCCTATATGCACTGTATGTGGACACTTCTGCTCTCCCATAAAGCTACATAGCACTAAAAGCCCACACCAATATTGTTGTACGCACTTCTTCAGAGGTGTACTTATAAGGCCCTTTGCACACAAGGGCATCTAGTTGCAGTGTGTGCATCCAGACGTTTTCCGCTTGTGTTGTGGGCCTGTGCTTTTGTGAATGATGGCAAGCCGTTGACAATGCTAGCTTAGCAATCAAAGCACGGGTCAGAATGGGACCAAGTGCTCCATGCACTAGGTCCCCTGCAGTTCCACAATGATTTATAAATGATAATGATTATTTCTTTAAGGGTGGTCATAATAAACCCAGCTTATCAGACAAGTTAATAATCACATACAAAACCACAGTGCCCAAAAAAGAGCATGTACAGGATAATAGCTATGTTATGCCCCATACAAACGATAAGAAAAATCGTACAAAAAAATTTCACGGAGCCACTGATCGAACGATTTTCTTTTCATTGATGAGCAGGATGTTTTAACCGATAACGATATTGTGAACAAAAAAATCCAGTTGAACAACAGTGAAAAACTGTTGTTTCGCATACGAACGACCGATTTTCTATGTGGTGGTATGACAGTCGTACGAAAAAAATCAAGCGCAATCATGCATGAGCAGAAACAGAAGATGACCCGGATGTTTATCTCCAAGGAATCTTCGTAAACACGAACGAAAAATCCAGTATATCGCTCGTTCTGGCCGGAAGGGTGTGGCTACAAGGTCACACGCACCCTGCATCACTTCCACTTGTATGGAAGATGTCAACACTTCGTATTGCCCGAACAATTTTTTTTAATTAGGTTAATGTGGGCCACGATTAATGCGGGCCACGATTTCGGGCAACAAATGCCTCTCGGTCGTCGCATGATTGATCGGTCGATTTTCTAATCGTGTATTCCCATCTTAACACTGTCCAGCGCTTCCAAGCTGGCTCACCTCTTTGCCTTGTGTCGAAACCAGAGCTTGTTCCAGCTTCTAAAATAAAGTCATACAGATCAATACAAGACAGTGCCACCACAGTGAACTCTTTTGACATGTTTCACACAAATATGGTCTTAATCGCAATCATACTCTTTAGAGGAGGTGTTTGTGCTAGTCCAGAACAATAAAGCTTATTTTACTCATTGCTGTTCAATTTCTGTCCTTCAAAAATACTCAACTCTACTATATTTTCAACTCTGGTTAAAAGCTGAAAGTAGCACTCCTTTCATAGCCTACTGGCATACAGACACAGTAACCTTCCCCAGCGGTCTGATGTCAGTATTTCTGTGCTCAAAGCGGTACATTTTTTTGCATGGAAATATGTATTTATTGTAGGCCTGTAATTCTTTATTTGTAGGCCTGTATTGTAGGCCTGTAATTCTCAGGAATAACTCACTGAAATCTGTCCGAACAAAAGTCTAGTAAACATCCGGGTATGTTAAAATTTGAAAAACTAAATCATAAAATCATAAATTATAATTTATTAAATAATCATAAAAAAAAAATAAATTTAATTCAATAATATAATCAAACTAAAAACACTGAAATTTGAAATAGAGCGCCAAGTTCGCACATCACTGAGCAAAGTCGTAAAATCTGATAACTAATTTCCCCAGGAATCATCATTCAATTCTGCAAGTGGTTCTAATTTACTACCACTGTTCTCTAGCTGGTCTAAAACCGCTTTTGACCTAAAGGGATGCTTTTTGGACACCATGGACGTTTCTCAGTTTCCAGGCAGAAAGAACAGTAAAAATGTAGGCAGGGCACAGGACAAAGCACTAGGGATAAAATGTATGTGAAATGGTTTGATACA